CTTCCCAAGCTCTTGGCGCATCTTCTCTGTCAAACTGGCCAAACTTCTCACTCCAATTAGCCTGCTAATGCCCTGCAGAAGTTAGAGGGAGGCCACAGAGAGGTGTAGATCCCAGACAGCGTTCTCATTGCAAAGCTAATCTTGTAAGAATAGGAAGCAGCCAGGTCCTAAGCACTTGTTTTCTAATAAACTGCCAACCTGAAAGATCATTCCTGCTGGAACTGGGAATTTGGCTCCATTTAGAGTGCTTCCTCTGCCCTCAGCCTCTGTGTGTGCCCTTTTGCCCTGGTCCCCTCTCCTTCCCTCCTTCTTTCCTAACTCCCACTTCTCAGCTGAGCTCTGTGACAGCCCTGAACGGAGAAGAGCAAGGGGTGCCCAGAATGGGAGGTGTGATCCAGGCAAGAGCAGAGCATCTTCAAAGGTGTAATGAGATGGAATAACATCAGGGACAGGAAGCAACCTTGAACAGGCCAGGAGAGGCAAACTATGTGGCCAGGTCAAGCAACATCAAAGGTCAAACTTTCAGTTGTTCACAGCAGTTTTGCACTGGTTGATAGCACAGTATCATGTCTGACTCCCATGGACCAGAAAAAAAGACAGAGGGAGAAGAAATGTGCTAAAGGAATGAAGGAAGCTGTATAGAAACAAGTAGAGGATTCCCAGACCTTCTTGCTTACCTTACAGGAAAGGAAAGGGTCACCCTAGTGATGACTGGTGCTGTTTCCTGGCAGCTTCTGGCTTCAGGTTTTCCAAGTTAGCCTCCAAATCTGCATCTGCCAGTTCCACATCAGGCTGACACAGAGCCACAAACCTGAGACTGGAGCACTTAAAACTGCGCTGTGACCACAAGTTCCTTCTGCTGGGCCAGAACCCACTGGAGAGCCTGGTGCATCACATCCCTTTCAGGCGTTATGACCCATGACTTGGCACCTTCTTCTTCTGCATCCTAGTCAGAAGGTTTCCACCCTTTCCTGGAGCCTGCAGGGAGCTCAGCACTTTCTGTTGGTGATGCAGCCTGAGCTAGACTCTGAGGGATGCTGTCTGATTGTCTTGACGTGGTCAGAAACCTTTACAATGAAGATCTTCAGAAATAAATGCTGGCGTTATATGCATAGGTAGATACTGAAGTATGGACTAGAGAACTGACACCTTGCTTCTACTAATAAATCCTTCCTAGAAAAGAGACAGCCTGCTTTTAATGCCCTCAAATTACACTGCTTTGAAGTAGGTATGCAAATATCTTCAGAAAACTATACTAGGACATTCCCCCTTTTCTCCTCTTTGTGTGTAGGTTCTGGAATTTAGAGAAAAACCTGTGGCAAAGAAAGATATTTCCTTTTACTCAGCCAATAGACAGCTAAAACCCCCCAAATGAGCAGACTACAGCAGAGTCCATCTACAAAGAGCTTGGACAGGAGTTCAGTACTCCTTTCACACACAGCTTTATGTGAGCAAAGAGGAAAGCAGTGGACATATGAGAAGGCTCATTGTATGGCTTTCAAAATAGAGCTATTTCTGATATACCAAGAGTGAAAACAAGAATATGCTTGATTTTTATCTGCCTGGTTCAACATTCCCATTTATGAAAGAAAGAAAAATGCACACGATTAGTGCATTCTCTTATTTCAGGTGATTTGCAGTGCTGAAAACTGAATGAAAAAGAACAGGTTTTATTTCCTTCCATGTCTAAATTCATAAGAAAATCTACTGGCGTGTTATTTAGTAGATGAATTATTTCCCAAGGGTTATGAAACAAAGAAATAATGACTGATGCTTTCAATCTTCTTTCAGCAAAACAAAGTTCCTTTTCTCTGTGTGGATTTAGACCCATGTCTCTGCCAGCACTGGGTTCAGCCAGTGCCTTGTAAAACATCTAAGGGCAGCATTTCAGCTCTATTTCAAAGACACATCTTCAGCAAGAGCTTCTGGGGTGATTCCTTTACATTTTACTGCTCTCTTAGAGCTGGGAACCTGGTACCCAGCAGAGGAAATCATCAACATGGTGCTTGGTACATCTCTGAAACAGCCTGGCATGCAAAACCAGGAACCTGGACATATTATACAGCTTGAGGACCCTTTGTTACATACGTATTTATATATATATATAATATATAGCTTAAGATGACACGGTGTTAAGGTCTTCCATGAGTTAAAACAAGCTGACTAATGTCATGTTCAAAGGATCCCAGAGCTGAGAGGTGCAGGCTAAATAATCCCATTTGGTTTGCAGAGCAAAGCAGATTTCCCAGAGCCAGTCTTACCCACCTAAGAGGCAAGCAGGATGGTGGCATTCCCACTTGCCCTTTCTACCTGTTTGTTAGGGGAAAATTATGTCCTGCATCAACACCACTGTTGCCCTGGGCTGGCAAAGCTGCAGTGACAGGAGGTGGCTTAAGACAGGGTTGGCTCAGTCCAGTAACAGCCCAGACATGAGACAGGGAATAACCCAAGATTCCTTTGGTTGTTGCTGGGTTTTTTCCCTCTGGTTGTGGCAATATTAGCTCAGAACATTCCTGTAGAGTAAACTTGGCAAATATACTCTGTTTCCATTTACCTACCTGCTTCATACCACTGCTATTGGAGCAGCACAATAATGCAGTCTATTCCACTGTAATTCCTTACCAGTTTCATTTTTACTTCTCAAGACCTATTCAAAATCCACAACATTTCATAGCCTGGGTACTGTCTATTAAAACAATTACTAAGCATAAGTATAAACCCATCTGAAATATCACCTCCAAAGGGTTACTGCCAAACTGTTAACGTTAATCATGTTAATTGTTAACAGAGACAGAGAAGCACAAGGTAATTACAAGGAAACCTCAGAACAGTAGTTAGGATGTTACTCACCCATAGTAAAAACTTGTGATGCCCTCAGCCACGTGCTTGTTTGTTCCCTGAAAGATGGTTTGTACCTATTTCATACTCTTATTTTCCCCAGCTAACAGCCAGTTAATTTTACATAGCCTGTATGCTTTCATTGCTACACGAAGCCAAACTCCACAGCACTACCACACAGCAATTTATGGCATTGTGTTTTAGCAGCTGGCTTTATACAGCATGAAGGTAAATAAATGCATTGGTTTTTAGACTTCTGCCTTTTTATGTTATTTCCTGTTCTCAGTCTGATACTGGGACAGACAAAGTGATAATGTTTAAGTTCTCTCATTAGGCCTCTGGTCCTATTGTGCTCATAAGCAGAAACCGAAAAAAGCTCTCACAGTGCAACATTGACCTGAATAGCAAAAGAAATCACAATCCCACACATACATGGACCCTGAACCCTGCTTTCCCTCACTCCACATGCTCAGAATGTACAAATTAATAAGTAATCTCTGAAGTCTTCCAGGGTTTATAAAGGTTTCTCACCAGCTTTGTGCCTTTCCCTATTCCCTCTGAAGATCCTTTTGATTAACCACATCCAGACTCCCTGTTTCTGTAAGACTCTTCTTTTAAAAAAGAGGTATTAGTTTGAACATTAATGGAAGCCTCCTTTTAAAACTCAAACAGTGCTTCCAAATACCCCCTGAAGTGCTAGCATGGATGCTGATGAGTGGTAAGGGCTGATGCTACACAGCCTGTTCAGGAACACTGCCAAGGGATGAGCCTTGCCCTCTTACCTGCATCCTGCCCCCCACAAACCACCAATCAAGGGGATAAAACTTGCTTCCCCATGGTCCCTTCCCTCCCACAGGAGGAGGAAATTAAGCTGCAGGGGTGGGAAAGCTTGGACAAAGTGCAGCTTCCTCCTTTGGCAATTATGGGGCTCAGGAGAGAAATTCCTGATTGCTACGATTGCAGCCAGTTCCCTTTTCCACATTCTCACCAGCTGTGCTATTACTAAGCATTAGGGAGCCTAAAAAGGCATTTAATGACAAGGACTTATTCATTCTCAACTTACACAGCTGCTTTCATTTAGGCTACTTGGGTTTCTCACTACAACTCAACCTGATTCATCCAGGATGCACACTTGAAATAGATGGGTGAGGAAAATCCAGATGACATGCACTTACTGCGGGAAGCCAGGGGGAGAGGAAGCAGCCTGCATCAGATGTCTTAATGCTCCCCACGAAACCTCACCCCGTGGGCAACCTCATTTCTCCTTCCTGGGTCTATAAGGAAAGATTTCATGGGCATAGGGTTTCAGGGAAGTACCTATGGGTTATAAGCAACGAATCTGAGCAGCAAACAATATTTGTTGCCCCTATACTAGTACATAGGTTCCCACACAAAGCCTCCAGCTCCTTACTTCCCACTGCACTCACATTCCACCACAGCATGACACAAACAATGCCCACCAAGCAACCTACTGCCCCTCCAACTGCCCTTTTATTTCCCTACTGCCTCATGCAGGCAGGTGGGATGCCTGGGACCACAGCTGTGATGGATTAGGGGGATTAAAAAGGGGGCTGTGGAAATCACAGGGAAAAGGGGGGCGACGACATCTATGTGCCCTTTGCTTTGGCATTATTTACATTACTTTCTAGGAAAGGCTGCTGGAAGCTGGGGTTGGCAATTTCCTCGTGCTTAATGAGTCCTGGTTTGGACTGCCTCTCCGGGTGCCTGGGTTGCATGTTCAGGCTGGCTGCAGTCTTGGCCTGATCTCTCATGCCCGTTGGGGGAACAGGTTCATCACCCTAAAGCTCACACAGCACAGCCATGGGTTTTCTGCACCCTGGCTCCTCATGGGGCTCTACTTCGGCACCTCCAAGGCCAGCACCCCTACAAGATGCTGCTCTATTTCAGGCAACCCACCCTTGCAACGTTAAGGAAAGGACCAAACATAACATTCAAACCCTTGGAAAACATGAGTTTCATTACTCAGATCCAGGCAGCCACCCCGAGTCTCAAATAAATACTTTACAGTTTTTGTTCCCCCTACCAAACAGAATATTACAGTGTCACAAAATAAATAAATATCCATTATAAATAGTCTCTTGTATTCCTCTTGGAGCGAGTCATGGCAGGTTTGCTTGAAAGCCTGAGGTTCTGTTGGAAGAAGTTCCTCTCTCGCACGTGTAGGGCAAGCAGCTGCTCAGGTGTTCAGTGATGTGGCAGGGCTGGGGGGACACTGCTGGGGCCTGCCTGCCCGCAGCTCTGTGCTGCCCACACTTCTTGGCCTTCCTACAGGCAGGAAAGACCTAACAGAAGAGAGGTTGTTGGGGTTTTTCCTTCTTCAAAATGTATGGATATTTAAAGTGAGGGGGTAAAGGTCCTGGCTATTTGTGTTACCAAATAGGTCCTTGTGTCTCTCTGTGCAAGAGACTGAAGTTTTCCCCTCACAACCCTCCCCAGTAGTCTTCAGCTTGGACCTAGAGGCATGATACCCATTGAAGACGTGTGTTGCGTCTCCTCCCGCTGCTTTCTCTCCTCCAAACCCTCCATCAGATGCCAGGATGCCCCCTCTGGCCACAGCCCACAAGGAAGATGAGGTGCCTTCGGCATAAAACTGGGCTGAGTTTTCTGAAACGATGCCACCTCTCTTGGCTTACCCCCACCTCCAGCTTGCATCCTTCATCCCCTGCGTCGGGGCAACCAGCAGCAGCTTAGCCCCTGCTGCACTGCAGCACCCTGGGCTTTCCTCAGAGAGACATCCTCTTCCTCTAAGACCCCATTTTGTCTGAGATGTGTCCGTGAAGCTGCTTCCTTCACAAGCTGCTCTAACCATGCAAGGGGGAGGTTATTTTAGGAGATGCAAAAGAAGGGTGCAAGGGTACAGCCACTGCTTGCACAACTGTTTTGCGCATAAATGTAGTAATAGAGCAATGCTTAACTCACAGCATGCCTTGTCATTGAGAAAGTGGACAATCTGTAGTTGTCATCACCGTTGGGTACCTATGGGCCTGGCTCAACACCTTCAGGTTTCCCCTTCCCACAATGCTGCCATCCAGCTGGCTGGCTGGGGGCTGTTCCCTTTGTCCCTCTCTAATGCAGGTGCAGCCTGGGCTGTGCAGCGTGCATCCTGCACTGGGGTGGCTGAGCAGAGCTGGGTCCTGGTGTCGAGCCCTGTCACTGGTGGAGGTGAGCCCAGCAGCACCCTGGGGAAAGGCAGACCTACCCAGCATGGCCACGCTGGGTTTCTCTCTGGGTCACGTAGGTGGAGGAGGCAGGCAAGAAGGAGGAGGGAAGTCAGGGGGACCAGCACCCCCAGTGCAATGACAATGGCAGGTGCCATGCTGCTATCCCGGCTATCCGGACCTGTGGGGAAAGCAGCAGACACTCAGTTTGTGCATGAAGATAACAAAAAAACCCAGACCCATTTCAGACATCCCTTGGCCAGTCCCTGGAGTGAGACAAGGTGGATAGGGGCACTTGGAGCCATTGCCAGCATGCACACAAGTGGTACTGCCAACAGACCTGTCCTTGGGGTCTAATGCCATGGTTGGGTGTGCATCACCCAGCCCTCTGAGCTACCCAAAGCCAGCACATGTGGATGGTGTGTCCATATCCTACATGATAAGGAAACCCTGTGAGTCCTTAGCAGAGGCAGTGAGGCTGAGGCACACAGGGGACCCAATGGGCAGTAAGACATTGTATGCCATCACCCAGGGTACCTGCACGTTCCCTGGCACCTCTTCTATTCCTCCCAAGGCTGCTCTTCCAGGTGCCTTCCCCACCTGCCCATGGACCTCTGAGGAGTTTCCTGCTCTAACCCAGGAGGTATTTAGTGCTTCCCTCCCCACTCCAGGGCAGGAGCAGGATTACACACTGACCGTGCACCAGGCTGTCCATGGGCAGGACCAGGGTCACGTTTAGAGAGGGGTGTTGGATCTCGCAGGTGATGGGGTACTCCTGGAGGATTTTGGAGTAGGTGTGGGTGAAATTGCTGATGACAGCCACGGTCTGGTTGCCAAGCTGGACGTGGTACTCCCTCGGTTTCTGCTGAAGGACGCTGGGAAGGTGCCAGGTGATTTTTGGAGCCGGTTTTCCTGTTGCTGAGCAGCTCATCCCCACCACTTTCTCGGCGTCCTCAGCTTTGTCTGGGCTGGGTATAAGCTTAGCCTCCACCTTGGGGTCTGAGATGGCTATAAAACACAAAGTGACAAAATCTGCTACTTTCTGCTCACATTTGAGCAAAGAGCAAATGTTTTACCATTATCTTGGTGGCCAACCTTGATATCTAATCTTACCTCCCCCTCCCCATAACTCTGGCTGTGACAAACATGAAAGTGATTAGGCAGCACTCTGGAAATGAATAATAGAATCCTAGAATAGTTAGGGTTGGAAAGGACCTTAAGGTCATTCAGTTCCAACCCCCCTGCCATGGGCAGGGACACCTCACACTAAACCATGTTACCCAAGGCTCTGTCCAACCTAGTCCTGAACACTGCCAGGGATGGAGCATTCACAGCCTCCCTGGGCAACCCATTCCAGTGCCTCACCACCCTTACAGTAAAGAACTTCTTCCTTATATCCAATCTAACAGCTTGGATGAAACAAAGGTCAAGAGGGTAGAAGCATCTGTGTTTCAGTTCTGTTATTCAGTTCAACTGTTATGCAGTTCAATACTGCAGCATCCCAACATCCCAACTGGCAAGTGGTGATTATGGGCGAGTAAAAAGCAACAGGTAGTGAAACCATAAAACCACACGTCCTCCTCCCTCTGCAAGGGCCAAGCTGCTTAAATAAGCCAAAACCCTTGTCCTTTTCCCTTAAACGTACCTGCAGGGTTAGCTTTACTGCTGGTTTAGATGTAGAGGCTCGTGGGAAAAAGGACTAGATGCATCTATTTATTCAAGACAGTAACAGTGAAGTTGTATGTGGTTACACCACAGGATTTCACCTGTGAAGGTTTTGTGCTTGTTCACCTCCCTTCCCTCTAGTGTTGTGTTTTGGGGGCATCATGGTATCCTTTAAAACCTTCATTAAAGATCATTTCTTCTGAACTCCAGATTTTATTGATGCTGCTACATTTAGTCTTAGCAAGAAAGATGAGCTATAGGCATCATTCATGATTAGTCTGCTTGCTGTTCCCTATCTATACCAATTGTGTTTGCAAGGGCTAAAGAAAGGGAGGAGTACAGGAAGCTGTTCTCAAAATGGGTAGAACTCAAGGGGAGCTCTGAACACGTAAGGACACCTCTATCCAAGGACATGAGGACAACAATCTAATCCAAGCCCCTGCTCAAAGCCATTTTCTTAGTTTGCTTAGGCTAAGCTCTATAAAGGCATGTAGCTCCATTTGGGAGAGCAATCCACAGGTTTCTGTATGGAAGCTCACCAGCCTGTCTTCTACTTCAGTGCATGTGCTGACAAGTGAGAGCTCCAAACTGCACTACTTCTAAGTCCCTGTTTTTGAGAGTGTTAGGTTTACCATTTAACTGCAGTGGTGATTCTAGTTTTAGTCAAGTCCGAGTTACTATGAATGCCCTCTGTATAAAAAAGTCTCTATCACTGTACCTAGTAGTACTCCATATTACTATTTACATAGCAAAAGTAACAATGATGAATGCCATTAACCATTTTTGTTAACATATCATTATCATTTAGTGACCCTGCTTTTAAACAAACAAAATAAATCTGTTTATTCCTCTTAGGAAAAAATGATATTATTCTCTTTGGGGACGTAAATTAAGATCTGCATATGAATGAATAGACACCAAATGATCCTTTGAAAGGAGGAAAAAGCTTGTGCTGTGCACATAATGGCATCTATAACATCCCAATACAATTCCAAATGCAACCTCACATGGTTATATGGATCCTCCAAACCATAAGTAGCAGAGGGTGAAAGCAAGACATTGTATACCATCAATTTTGCTTTTCCCCCCCCCCTCTTTTTTATATCTAGACCTTATTTATTTGCTATGGTTGTGCCAGCCTAAGGGAAAAAAAGTAGGTATTTCTCTTTTTTTTGCATCACCCATAGACAGAAACTCAAACCCCTCCAGAGCTGATGGACCTCACTAGTGCTGCTCTGAGAGCAACAAGACAAGCACATAGGGGGATTTCAGCTGGAACTTCTCAAAATCTCCCAAGTATTGAAAGACAAGTGTCACAAACACTTTATGTTTTGATTAATAAATGACCTCTGAACTTCTTCTTTCGCTCACAAGGTGCATAAAAATAACATATCCACAGCAGTAACTTCAAAGATTCGCCTGCAACATCCAAAACCTGCAAAGGAAAGCTGTCAAAGATGTTCCCAGAAGGGATGAGGAAAATGATCCGGTGTCAGACACAGATGCACTCCACATCTGCTCTTCTCCTGACTAAGCAGTCCTTTCTCTTTTCACACTGGACCCCAAGGAATGGTAATCATGTGAATATAAATCACGTCGGGTTGAGCTTCTCCTTAGTGTCTGTAACAGATGCACAGTCAAAACCTAGAAGTGCCTGCTTCTGCGGTAATGTCCCTCTACGCTGTTGGTTAGCGTGTGCCCACTGTTGGTGCTCGATGCATACACTTCAACTAACTTCTTCTTTTGCCTTTCATCAAGATATATACTTCTGGTGAAAAAGTACCCACAAGAGATGTGCAAGTGCTTGCTTTAGTAGCTCTTGCAGAGCAGTAATGCAGATGTTCCTAAATTCAAGCTGTGGCAGTGTCCCCAAGTATTTGGAAAAGGGATTTGCTAGTGAAGTACATCAGCTTTGACTTTCTGTACTGACCTTATTTAATGAAAGGGGGACTGTCAGGCCATGATGTGCTTTTTATTTTGATGGCTTGACAGTGGTCTTGGAGGGACTGATAAAAAAGTGTAGGAATTGCGATGACAGACAGCCTTTTCCAACTCTGGGTGTTCACCAGCAGCACTGTGCCACGTTTTCCCTGTCTAAGAAATAGCAGTGGTATTTCTTTGCTATACTCAAGACTTCCAGGTGAATGGTGCATACAATGAAAGCAGAAAGTCTCTGAAGACAGCCCAGCAAATACACCAGGGAATTTTGTCTTGCCCATTGGTGAGGCACTGGAATAGGTTGCCCAGGGAAGCTGTGAATGCTCTATCCCTGGCAGTGTTCAAGGCCAGGTTGGACGAGGCCTTGGGTAATATGGTTTAGAGCAAGGTGTCCCTGACTATGGCAGGGGGGTTGGAACTTGATGATCTTAAGGTCCTTTCTGACCCTAACTACTCTATGATTCTCATGAGGCATGTCACCCTCTCCATGCTCACTCATTATCATTCTCTTGGGTGATGAAGGTTGGCAAAACATTTCCAAAGCAAAACGGAGGGGAAAGAGGAACGGACTGCTCAAAAGAGACACTTCAAGCACACTCGAAACTCTTCTCTTCCAAAAAGGGGTTTGTTACGGGGTAGGAGATTTCTGCTTTCTCTTCAGTTTGCTGTTTTCAGCCAGGCAGGTCCGAGGTTCCTCCACTCATACCTGTTCCTTTTCTCAGTGCTGTATCCAGTTCTTACGCTGTTTCACTTCCCCTCGTCACGCAGTGATGGTGCCCATCCTGGAACAGCCCCTCTTGCGAAGGCTGCTGTAAACGGGCAATTACCAGCTTGTAAACTCCCTGGTAGTTCCCTCTTGAGGGCAAAGATATGGCAGCATTTCATTTCCAGCTGGTGACTCTGGCTTGCTCATCTCACCCCGAATCCCTGAGTCTTGGGAGATTCCTGCTGCCTTCACACTCTGTCCCTGGGAGTCATAGAATTATAGAAAGCCTCTGCCACAAAAGTCCTCTGGGCTTGTTCAGAGAAGTGGTTCCCATCATTATAAGCTGGGGAATAAGGTGTTCAGACAAGTGGTTCCCATCATTATAAGCTGGGGAATAAGGGAGTAAGACTGTGGCTTTTAAGTAGGGTCACATAAAACAGCTACAATGAAATACACCATATGCGAACCAGAATCTTCTGTCATGGTGCTGAAAACTGATTTTATCCATGATGAATTTCCAGGACATGTTTGCTAAAGCACATTTCAGAGAGGCCTCCATGACCCGCATGAGCCAGCCCCTGGTCCATAGCCCACGTTGGTGAAGCAGGAGCTCACCTCACCTCTGCCCACAAGAGAAGTAAAACCCTTCTCAGTTGGTGCGCTTTCATATGAGATGCACATCATGGGAGTGTGTATGGCAGCAGAAGAACATCTGATTTTAAAAGCAGTGCTCTGCTACAGGTCAAATCATAGCCACAAGGCTGGTGATTTGGGCAGATATTTCTCCCACTTGGGTAAAAATGCCCAAACTAAACAAATTAGCTCTATGTTTAGATTTACATGACAAACAAGCATAGGATCCCTCTGCAAGCCACTTCCATGTTTTCTTGTAATTTATAACCAGTGTTTACCCTCTGAATGACTTGATTCAGAGCTGGTTGTCTTTAGGAACACCTTCCTATTCATAACTGAAATATAGAGTTAATATTTCTCTTTTCTACTCTAGGAGCTTTCCCAATAGGCAGGAAAAAGAACTTTTGCTCCAGACTTAGTTTTCCTTTGTACTGCCCTTCACTTTCTTTCCTTATTGCTTAAGGCATCTTTTGCCTGTAAGCCAGGGGCATCTTTTTTCCCACACAGGACTCCTGGCACATGGGTATGTGTGTGGACATACATGTCTGTGTCTTTGTCAGCAGAAGGTACTAGGGATAAGCAGAATACTCTGCAGCAGTCACACCACCAGCAGCAGGTCCCAGACACTGACATTTCCCACATGGGAATTGATCTTTGGCCAGCATCCCCACAGCAGATTCACCGATGAGATAGTCAGGAACCCACAGGGTGCCCTCAGGGCATGGTCAATGTCTCAGCTTTCTCACTGGCAGAAAACCAAGACCCTTCCTCAAAAGATAAAAAGCCTTGTTCCATTTGAGTTCATCTATTCTATTTCAGCTCGTACTTGCTAATTGACAGCATCGTATGCAGGTGTCAAATATTGCCGCCTTGACTCAGGAGTTGTTTTATCTCCCTTCCTGAAACTAACTGATGTCAACCTGCACAAGATATTCATGTAGCAAAGCCCATGAGCTGCCCTGTGTTTCTGTATTTCAGCCTTTTTGGTGTGTTGCCTGCCTTTCCTGGGCCCAGCCTAACTACTGTCATTTTTACTATAGTTTTGAAGCTATACTCTGCAAATGCCTCTCTGCCTTTTAAATACGTCAAATTATTTTAAGACCCAAGGCAGAGTAAGAACAGAAAGTGCCTGATTTCCAGGCTTAGGAGGTGAGAGCAGCAGTGAAAGGAAGTAGAGGAGCGTGGGGTTCATGGTTGTGGCAGGCCAGCTGCCAGCACAGCACACAGCCAGGGAAGCTTGGAGGAAGTCATGGGTGACACGTCAGCTTTTGGATCTCACCGTTGTCGGTTTAAAGGGGAAGAAAATGAAAGACCTATCTGAGCAGTTGGTTTCCCCAAGGAGGTAAAACCAGGCAGGAAGCTGAGCTACCTTTCTCACAGCAATTTAGCAATGACTGGCAATCAGGGAAAGCTTTTTGGTCAGGGAAAACAACTTGCTCATCAGATGACAGCCCATAAGCAATTGTAACGCCTTACCGTAAACCTTGAGGCACGTCCTGCCGGTGAGAGCCCCAGAAGGGAACGTGTTGAAGATGCACTTGTAGCATCCTTCATCTTGGAGGGTAACTCCATGCAGTGAGATGGCCGAGGCTCGTAACTCTCTGTGGGCAAAGCTCACGTGGCCAACGTAGCCCTTCGCTATCTTCTGGCCGTTCATCGTGCTGTATGTCGCTATGTTGTCATCAGCCCCATCCGTCTCCTTCTGCCAGGTCACCTGTAGCACATCTTCTTTCGTGACTGACTGGCATGCAAAGGTAACATTCCCTCCTGCCCGAACAGATTGGACCTTCCTGTGCATCACCTGCACAGAGCCTGGGGGAGAAGCAAGTGCTGCGCTCATTCTGCATTCTGCAACCCACCTCAGCAGAGGCCCCCCTGCAACCCCTTGTCCTCACTCCTGAGCAGGGCAGCTCTGGGCAGTCTCTCTGCCCCTCCATCCAGGGGTTAAAATGAAAAAGCAGCCCAAAATAGGTGCTCTGAGAGCTTTGCTGAACCTGACACCTCTCGCACAAAGCATCTCTCCAGCCTGATACTTGTGCTGCAGAGAGCACTACGAGAAAGCCGGCACTGATGTTGGAAGGAACTGATTTCTATCTGCTAGGATTGTTATCCCACTGGCACGTACGGAGATGTTCCCTAAACATTCAGCTGTGCCTATGACCAAACAGCCATCGGTGCATTACTGCTCTCTAAGCACTCCAGCTGTGCCTATGACCAAACAGCCATCAGTGCATTACTACTCTCTAAGCACTCCAGCTGTGCCTATGACCAAACAGCCATCAGTGCATTACTGCTCTCTAAGCACTCCTGCAGCCCCGAGAGAAGCAAATCAGTAAAGCTGCTAAAAATTACTGTGTGCATCACTATACATTGTGTATCCACTCTTGTTAGAGACTGATGAGAGAACAGAGATCCAGCAGGATAAAGCAAGGCAGGGAGGACCATAGGCAAACTGCCTGTCTCAGGCTTCAGGCAGTGCAGCTGGGAAGCAGCTGAGAGCTTGTTAAAGCCCCACAGACAGAATTCACAGCATGAACACCATGATGTTAAAGATCTCCAGGGAAAAAAAGAAACCATCAGTCTCCTCTGACAATTCACAGACACATGTGCAAAAACTGGTAAGGGGAGAAGCAAGCAAAATGGATGCTCCCAGGTTTGACAGTTCAGCTGTGGCCATGGGTAGGCAGAGCTCTGCTAGACACCAAGAAGCCAGCTCTGAAGCTGTGCTGGTCATATAACTTGTCAGAGCTCAGTAGTGCCATAGGCAGAACACAATCCATGACCGTGGAAGCTAGTCTGAAACAAACTCAGGCTTTTCTACATGATTTTTAATGACAGAAAACCCAAACAAAGTAACACACATAGAGATTTTTAATGACAGAAAACCCAAACAAAGTAACACACATAGACTTTCAGTGACCTGAGCAGATACCTACACGCACCATGTTCACCACTACAAGTAGTTCTGAACTGACTAAAACAAATCAGTGCCATGCTCTGATCCAAATCGCAGCAACAACAGGAGGTGAGATCAAACTCCAGTCATATGGGTCATTAGGAACATTTGGACAATTGCCTCACTTATGATTTGCTAATTGCAATAAACTCATAAATGGAGGATGCCAACAGGACAGTAACATGTCTGAAGCATCATGCAAGCAGTGTGGTCCCTGCGGTGCCCTGTCACCACTGTGCCTGCTTCAGGGGATGCGAGGTGAGGACTGCAGCACTTGGCTGCAGCATAATTATAGAA